AAACCACATGTTTACAAAAAATGTCAATATTTTCGAAACCCTAAGACAGATTTTTCTCTAACTTCAGCAAATAAGCCTCAGAGCTCACTAGTTTCATATCTGCAAGTTTGAAGTCAATCGTGACCGTATATAGAACTCGCTGCACAAATAGCTGGTCAAATTTAACCTTAAATGCAACACTGACACATTAAGCGAAATTTGACGCGCAAATAGTGGAAAACTGCCGACGGACTATCTCCGTTCTGCAAGGGTATTCTAAGCCAAAGCTTTATTGCAAGAAACTGAGTAATCAGAAACCTACTGCGAATACAGTTCGCAATGCAAGAAAAACAACTTTATGCTGAATGCAGGGCAAGATTAGCACATCTGTTTATTAAAGTTACTGTATATTTGCCCTTCTCTTTTCGAAAAAAATCTCAGCAAAGCAAGATATAGCATGTACGGAAATCTCCTACCAGTTTTAGCACCGAAGGTTCCCGTCTTGAGGAGAAATAAAGCCACACGGTGTGGCATAAACTCCGTTACTTTAACCGATCCCTGCATTCAGCAGAAGTTGTTCTTATTGTATTGCGAACTCTACTTATTACTTATCTGTAATGCATACCCTTTGGTTATTGCCATTCAAGATGTAGCTCCTGGAAGCTATGAAATAAGGCCAGAATCGCTTCAGACTTTTCAACCCTCTTACGCATCAAGCATAGCCTGAATTTCATGCGATTACTTCGAGCCGTTATTACTCCCTCAGTAACGTGTTGTTGAGAGGAGAAAATGACACGAAGCAATCGGATGAATTTCAGGCTACATCAAGCAAGGTGAAAAACGAAAACGATGCCATCCGAAAGACAAGCGACGTATTTCTCAACCAAAAACCCAATAAACAAACTAGCCATGAATAACAGAAGACTCTTGATAGCAGCTGAATGTCATTTTGTACATCCAGTAGAATGATACAGTTAAAAACATCACAAGTTGACACAAAACTGTCAGCTTCAGCTGTCAAAGTAAACAAGTTTCAAGATGCTGCAGACAGTTTGACTAATAGTCGCGAGTCGGGGGTCGTGGGTCCAAAGTCACGGTGGCGGGTCCAATGTCGCGGTCAAGGGTCCAAAGTCGCGGGAGGGGAAAATGATTTGGAGTTCGAGGTAACTGAGTGAAAACGACTGATATGAAAAAAATACAAAGCAATTTACAGGTTACGGATGTTAGAGTCAACAAAATAATGTCTCAAGAAAAGACCTAAAAGAAAAAGCTGGCCCACTTTTGTGTTCACCGCAAGTTCATTTTGTTTTTTTTCTATCGCGCCCAGTTATGTGTAAATTGAGCTTTGAATATACTTATGCATAACAGTATCTGATAAAAAAAGTTACCATGAGTTACCATTGTGTTCTTCTCGTCTATGAATTGCTCACAAATGTTCAGGGGTGCATTCACTGAAAAATGTGCGATACACTTCATAGACTACAAATTATAATCGTTACAACAACTTAAAACCTTTTTTTAAAAAGGCTAACTCGG